GAGTTGTTAGATAAATATGTAAAATATCAGAATTTTATCAAGAAAATTCGAGAACTACTCCTGTTCACCAATTTTGATGAAAACGGATTATCAATCAATTAGGTTGAGAGTCTAACAAGTAGATATACCAACATAACTAACAACCACAACCAGAGTAGCGTCGCCTTGGGCACAGCTACAATTTAGGCTTTGCTTATCGAAGCACAGGCAAATGGTGTGCCCAGCAACTGGTCAATGCTCAGTTCATCTTAATGAGAAATGCAAAGTTTTTGGATTCGCTTTGAAGTAATGAATCCGTAAAAATCACAGTTTAATTGCCAACAAATATTTTGGGGGGCTTCCCATTATATAGCTTCGTTAAATTGGGGCTCCACAATTACTTCGACTACTAATTACAGGCGAGCAACAATGGGAAGTTATACGAAACAACAGAAATGGAGAAAGTTCTTTGTATTATGATCCCTGTGAAGGTGGCATAATAATTAGCGCGAGTGCAGCTAGTGCACAGGTAATTACACTAAATAGGACAAATACCTGATCGATTTGCATTCGTGAATGGAATCCGTATGCATATAAATCACACATCCAAATGATAATTAACTGTCTAATTGCATGTCCAGCATGCCAGCTGGAGACGGCCCTCAGGTCTAATGAGCAGCTTTATTATTAACAGTTCAATAATTAGCATAATAATCTGTTGCATCCATCGAATGGAATGTGGCATTAGCTATCGCATGTGGCGACAATCTCTGAGATTAATGCGAATGCCATGCTGATTATTGACCTCGGCCAGAACCTTATATGGTAATTAGTGCCGAGCAGAGTATTAAATTCGCTTTTATATTACTTGATTGACTCACGCTCCATAAAGACAATAATGTGTTTAATTATCGAGCCGGCGGACAGACATTTGCTATAGTGTCAATAAAATTTACAGCGTTGGCATTAATGTAAATTTATTTAATTTATTACTGCGCAAAATACAATTTTGTGCACTTAATTTACGCATTACACGAGCTGTTATTTCATAGAAAATTAATTACATTATGTAAACTGTTTGCTCTTGATGAAAATTGTTGAAATTTTAAAAGTGATTTGCCTGCATATATTTTTAATATAAATTTAAAGTATTTTCTTCGCCCATCTAATTGCGCTTACTCTCCAACTGCTATACGTTCTTATAAATCGAATTAAACTTCCATTGCAATTAAAATTCAGCTGTAACAATAGCCGAACAGCAGTCCAAATTAACCTCAAAAAGGGGAATTTAATAAAGCAGTGAAAGAGAGGGGGAGAGAGAGAATGGGAGAGAGGGATAGTCAAATTATAGAGCGCGCATTCACATTGCAATTCGCCATGTCGCCTCGTCGCATTTCAATTGAATTAATTAAATTTTTAAATGTCCTTTTTGGTCGGCTTACTCCTTGCTCCTTGCTGCTTGCTCTCTGAATGTCTCTTACATGCAAATTTATTGGGAGTGCGCTCAAAAAGAATTTTCCTTTTTACAATTTGCAATTGGCATTAATTTGCACGACAGCAAAAAATCGGCTAACGAAGAATATAAAAATAATTCTCAAATTAAAACCCAGATCGAATGAATTTAATTGTAGTTTTCATGCTCCACAAAACCAATGCGAAAAAAATAAATGCAATGAAATGCAAATTAGAGTCAAAAAGCAGATTTTCATAAAAAACAGTTCGAATAAAAACATTAATATTTTTTATAATTTTTATACTCATTCACGAAGTGAATTAGTATATTGGTTTTGTGCAAT